GTTGTTTCTGTAGGTTTCTCCAATGGCATTTCATAAACGTATTTAATAGGATTCGATTCGTAGTAAGCTGAAATTTATAGTTTTTCCATTTAAAATCCTATCGAGACATTTTAACTCGAGTAATAATGATAAAAGAGATACCGACAACAACAAACAACATTTTCGAATTTGTAAAGATCGATAGAAATCGGTTGATTAACCCATTCATTTTGGACAAGTTCGTTTACCGTTATTCTCGTATTTAAATTTTTATCCAACATTCGCGATAGTAATTTATTTAATTCGTTACTTATTGGAAAAAGTAAAGAATATTCTCCCTTTATTGTTTCTTCAACGTTACAAAATGGATTTTCGCCAAATGTTAAAATGTATAACGTTACTCCCAAAGCCCATACCTCAAGCTCTGGACCTTTGTAACTGAAACGATAAACAATATCGAAATCAATATCGAAAAATAATTTTAAACCCAGTGAAAAATAGTGAAAAAATTATTTCTATTACTTGTTGCCGAGTAAAACTTCAGGGCTGCAATATTCGAACGTTCCGTAAAATTTTGAGAAAGTCGTATCTGATGACGTATACGTTGCAGATCCGAAATCAATTAATTTAACTTCGAATTTTTCATTGATTATAATATTTTCATCTTTTATATCTCTATGAAGAATGCCCAAGGAATGTAAATAATTTACGGCCGAAACCACCTGGAAATTTAAAATTAAAAAAAAAATACATTTAACAATTATTTATGATGAGTAGAATTTAACCAACTAATGATGGATAGACGGGTAGAAGAGTAATGAAAAGTACCTGACGAAAAATGTAACTTTTTAATTTTTCATCGCATTTTAACCCTCTGTCAATAACTTCAAACAAATCGAGTCCTGCTCCATGTTTTTCCATAACGAGTTGAAAAAAATAATCGTTTTGAAAAACATCAACAACTTTAACTATATTCGGATGGTTTAAAGTTTTAAGTAAGCTAATTTCCAATGGAATTTTCATGTCAAGCTCAACATCGTAAATCCAAGGTTTATTATTATTTTCTTGCCGTTTAATAAATTTTGTAATAACCTACAATAAAATTGGAAAAATCGTAAGAAATTTGTAAACATGCATTCGTGTGGATTTGTTTGTAAAAGTTACCAAAAGTCCATCCGAATTTCTAAACGCCATATTAACACCACCACAATCCTTTTTATTAATTTCCGTAATATTAGTATAATATTTTGAATAGTTGCCAGAAGTCAATTTACAAATAGATTCCGAATGTGAATCATTATAATTTTTCTAAAAAAAAGTTTATGTTAGAGATTTTTAATTTTTTTTTTTTTTTTTCGGGGATGAAAAATTTTAAAATTTCTACAAATTATCATATTACTTCTTTAATCGACAAACTGTTGGGAGATTTATTCTTTAGACGATACGATTCATCAGCAGGTTTTCCATTCATTGTCAAATTTAAAGATAAACAAATAATATAAAAAATGTCTTCGTTTAAAACATATTTTTTAACATGATATTTAACGTCAAAGTATCTTCCATTTCGATGAAGACCAAAACCAGTTATGTGTTTTTCATTTGCACTGTCTTTACTGCTTTTGGTAAAATCTTTTACATTAATTGAACTATTTGTAGATAACTCACTTTCAATGATATTTTTTTCTAAAAATGTATTTATTTACATTATTCAAAATTGAATTTTCGCAAAGACTTTTTATAAAATCAACCTTTAAATTACCTAAATCATAATTACATATAGATTGAGTTTCATTTTCTAAATTGTAATTATTTAAAATTATTCCATTACTAATATTTGATTGTTCATCTTCGTCATTCCCTTTCAAATCCCTTAATATTACAGAATTTTGAATTGTTGGAATTAAATTAAGTATTGACTGAAAAAAAAGTTTTTCTTTTAATCATAATTTTATTAAAATTATTTACATGTAAAATTTCCTTACCTCATTTATAACC